GATGTTTATTAAATAATTTTATGATGTCAATATTAATGTGAATGTTTAGCATACTAGACTTAGCCATATGGGTCAACAAAAAATTGATAGATTAGAAAAAGAGGGATTACAAGGCTTCATTGATAAGGTTAATCAATCATTATGTGTAAACTATGTAGAAAAAAAATTGACAAGAAAACTATTTGATAAAAAAACTATATTTGATGTTCCATTACAATTAATAAATTTTGATATTTGTGTGCCAATGTACGTAAGGACTCACAGTGAAAATTAATATTTTATTATATTTATTGATAATAACACATGTTTCAATTTTGTCTATTTGATTCTTCACAAGTGGGCATGACGTTTTGTGTTATCGTGTTATGTTTCGTGTCAGATACGACATAAATAACCTTGACACAAACATGAAATAAATATTTAAATAACATGAATAACCTAAACATGAACACAATACATTTATTATAAGTATTACAAGTGACATGATATAACTAATATGTTTTAATTTGTTTTAGGAATAAGTAACACGAAATGATATGACACAGTTGACACGATTAGACATAATTATACTAAAATATCTAATCAACAATTCAACATAAAGCCAAAATGATAACATAATAAAAATATTAAAATCTTAAACACAGTTAACATTTTCATCAAATGTTTTTTATGAGAAAAAAAACATAAATATAACATAAATATAATTAATTATGAGAAAAGGATATCACTTACACATGTTATAAATGAGTCATTTATACATGTTGACACAATAATACGATTAAAATATAATTACTTAATTAGTCGTATCTTAAACGTGTAACCACATAAAATATGAAACACATTGTGCACAACATTGTGTCTTAAACTTGTTGACACTATTATGTTATAATTACTTAATTACTTAAATGGGTTGGTTACATGAGGTTTGAAACTTGAGAGACTTTGAATTGAAAATAAGAAGATAAGAAACGTTTAACAAACTAGTATGTAACAAGATCCTTAAAAGTAAGATATTCATGACATAAGAAGGAGGTTTGGTTTGTAAGTGTCACTAGATTTATCCAACTCTATTTTCTTTTTCTATTGGGATTCATAGATTTTTCACCTTTTAGGATTTGATGGACAGATGATTAGATTAATGTGAATGTTTAGCATACTAGACTTAGCCATATGGGTCAACAAAAAATTGATAGATTAGAAAAAGAGGGATTACAAGGCTTCATTGATAAAGTTAATCAATCATTATGTGTAAACTATGTAGAAAAAAAATTGACAAGAAAACTATTTGATAAAGAAACTATATTTGATGTTCCATTACAATTAATAAATTTCGATATTTGTGTGCCAATGTACGTAAGGACTCGCAGTGGAAGTTAATATTTTATTATATTTATTGATAATAACACATGTTTCAATTTTGTCTATTTGATTCTTCACAAGTGGGCATGACGTTTTGTGTTATCGTGTTGTGTTTCGTGTCAGATACGACATAAATAACCTTGACACAAACATGAAATAAATATTTAAATAACATGAATAACCTAAACATGAACACAATACATTTATTATAAGTATTACAAGTGACATGATACAACTAATATGTTTTAATTTGTTTTAGGAATGAATAACTCGAAATGATATGACACAGTTGACACGATTAGACATAATTATACTAAAATATTTAATCAACAATTCAACATAAAACCAAAATGATAACATAATAAAAATATTAAAATCCTAAACACAATTAACATTTTAATCATATGTTTTTTATGAGAAAAAGAACATAAATATAACATAAATATAATTAATTATGAGAAAAGGATATCACTTACACATGTCATAAATGAGTCATTTATACATGTTGACACAATAATACGATTAAAATATAATTACTTAATTAATCTTATCTTAAACGTGTAACCACATAAAACACGAAACACATTGTGCACAACATTGTGTCTTAAACGTGTTGACACCATTATGTTATAATTACTTAATTACCTAAATGGGTTGGTTATATGGGGTTTGAGACTTGAGAGACTTTGAATTGAAAATAAGAAGATAAGAAACGTTTAACAAACTAGTATGTAACAAGATCCTTAAAAGTAAGATATTCATGACATAAGAAGGAGGTTTGGTTTGTAAGTGTCACTAGATTTATCCAACTCTATTTTCTTTTTCTATTGGGATTTATAGATTTTTCACCTTTTAGGATTTGATGGACAGATGATTAGATTATATGTTATTTTTTTGTACTTTCTTTATTTTGTAAATAATAATCTATTGGGTTTTGCTTTTGATTTTGTTAAAAACTCTTTGTCTTTCCCAGCAATTGTTTATTAATATTTGTGCAATTAATTTTTTTCTTTCTTTTTCTTATTAGAATTTAGATTGCTTAGGTTTTTTTATATTAAGACTATCTTTAAAATTTAAATAGTTAATTGATGACTGATACATATTGTATTTAAGTTTTTAGAGTCAACATATAAATTGCAATAAGCATCTTGACTTTAAGAGGAATAATACTTTGGTATTACTTTTTTTCTTTTGCAAATTACACAGGTTTGGTTTGTTGATGTACTGAATGCTAAATTCTTATAGCAATGCTTTCGAGAATAGTTACTATTAAACTATTGCAGTTTGCAAAAACCATATCGGTATAAGTTCAGCCATACTTTCGTGCAAAACTATAAGCAATGCTAGTTGATTTTAATTTACAAATGGTGCAGTATGCAAATCAAATACTATCAAAATTTGAACTTTGGTAGCAAGAAAAAAAAGATTATGAGTGCAGCAAATGTTTTTGTATTCTTTTAGGTGGTAGTAGCCTTTTGTTGTAGGGCAGCATTGTTTCTCAATTTTCTCAAAAAAAAATTTTTTTTTTGTGCATTGGTGAGAAGTTGGGATATAGCTTTAACTTTGGTTTTTTGCCTTGTTTATAGATGGACTTTGAAAAAGATTTTAGAAAGCGAAGAAAAGATTGTCATTCATGGACTATGGAAGAAGATAACGCTTTTCTTGAAATATTATGAAACCATTAAAGGACAATAATGACGTAGTTGAATTAACATGATATTGAATGTATCAAGTTAAATTGACACAAATGTTCAAATTATTCTGTTTGCTAAGGATTAGAAATAAAAAAAAAATCACTATACTTTTTTAATCACTAAATGGTCATAATAATAATTTTTTCAATATAAAAAAATAAAATAATATTTTTTATTTTCTTGAACTTATTTATAATTTTTATTAAAATTTTTATTTTTTTATTTATATTTTATTTATATTATATTATAATATTATATTTAAAATTATCAAATTTACTTTAAAACTCTATCATAGAGTTTTAGATAGATATCTTGTCAAAGTTCTGCTAGGAGATCTAAAATTTCCGCTTTAAACGGGGAACTCAGGGATCATAAGATTTGGTGTTGAACCTTGACCTACGAGCTGCTCCGGGCCATGAGACCTGATACCACCCGGCAATTCGTAAACCTATTTGTCCAATCCATTTCTTTTTCTTTTTTTTTTTTTTTTTTTTTGTAATTTTGCACCTACTTAATTGTCATTCGATTTCACCCCCACGAGGCTCGTTCAAATCCATTCCTCTGCTCTAATTGGAATGGTAAAATTAATGTGGAGGGAGAGCTGATAGGAACTTGATTCAACTCAGCGTACTTACAAATTTTTGTTATAAATATAATAAATTAGATTTAATTTATAATATTTCAGCTCTATATTTTTATATAATCCATTTTATACTAATTTATTATTTTAAATAATAAAAAGGAGGGATCCCTTCTCAGTTTATTATATATTTTTATTAATTTATATATTTTAAATTATTATAAAATAAAAAATTATTTTAAATATAAATTTATTTAAATATATTAAAAATTATATTAAAATAATATATAAAAATTTAAATTTAAATTTAAAATATCAATAAACTAAATTGAATTAATAAAATTTAATTCGAATTAATTTTAAAGAAAATCAACTAAAAATTAAAATTAAAATTTAAAACTTTATAATATTATATATTTTTTAAAAAATTTAATTGCATTAAATTGAATTTTGTTTGAATTATTATTATTTTTAATGAGCGAGTTAGGTTTAGTCTAACACGATGAATTTGATAATAAGTTCAATTGCACCCAAAGTCACTTCAAAACATAAAAGTTTAAATTTTGAATTTCTTGTAAATAAATGTTTTAAACTTATTTATCAAAATAATTATTAGAAATCTAGCCAAAAAAATAATTATTAAAAAAATAAAATTTAATTCAGTTATTTTTACAGTTATTATTTAAGAAATTATATCTAATAAATTTTCAAATCTTGAAATTATTTTAAAATTTCAGACTGATTGATTTTTTAATTGAAATAAAAACAGTTTTAATTTAATTTTTAAATATTTTATAAATAAAATCTTAAATACAACAAAATTAAAAAGAATAATAAAGTTATATTAAACCTGAGCTGGCAAATCCTAATTGGAGATTACCAAAACCTTACCGAAGAGGACCTTTTTCCCTAAAAAAGTTTTAACCCCCTTAAAAACGCAATAAATATTCACTTGTTTTGCACAATTACCAAAATCCTAAAATTTGACGCTGTCACTAGACCCTGGTTTCCTTGTCCGAAACGCTGCCGTTGGCTTTCTCTGAGATTCTACACTTGTACGCTTTAGAAACTAGGCCATCCATCGCTGAGAGAGATTCTGTCTTCTTGAGCATCACCTGAAATTTCAAAGGAAAACCCTACCAACTGTAGCTTTGTATACCAAGGTAGGTTTTTTTTTATTTTTTTATTTAATTGACTCGATTAAGTTCTAATTTACTGCCTCAATTTGCCTTTCTTCTTTATGTCTCATTCGGTTATTTTATGTGAATGTATCTGCTTGATTTTATCAAGTTTGAATTCTTGAACTTGTGATGAAGTGGAATTACTTACTGGCTTAGCTTTTTTTTTGGGCTTTTGAATTTGCTTTTTTTTTTTTTTTAGGAATTTGTTATTGTTGTTTGTTTTGATGGGGGCAGGGGAGGAGCAATGGTGCTGTATAATTTTGAAAAAAATTTGTTACTTTGATGGGTGATTAGTGGTATTGGTCATTTTGGGTGATGGCTTTTGATTGATTTAATGCATTTGACTCACTCAGAGAATCGGATGAGCAATACCCGTTTTGGCGGAAGGGAACTTGTTAAAGAATCTGGAAAGAATTTAGGAATTATAGGCAGCACTGCACAAGTAGTACTAGTTAAAGGAGATAGGGCCTTTGTTTTCATAAGGAAATTAAAAAATGTACTCTTTTTTTTTTAATGAAAATTGGGAGCCCTTTCTCATAAGTTCTTGTAGAATTAAGTTTCTGTATTGTTCCATTGGCATAGTTGTACTTCTCTGAGGAGAACTGAACTTTCTTTCTAAAATCCTGGTGCTCCTCCAATTCCTTCTTGTTTGTGGCTGCAACAACCCTGAATGCATGATTTCATAGATAGCTTTCCAAGATGAATAATAAAGTTTTATGTTTGGTTGGGTCAAAGTGTAACTTAAGATTGTTAATTTGTTGATTTTGTGCTTTGTTAACAAATCGTAACTAGATCTTCAGAGTTTCCGGTTTAATCAAGTCCAGATTTTGATGTTTTCTTTTCTAAATAATTGCACTTATTTGCTTAACGCTGATGTGAGGGAAGTGGCTATTAGATGTCTGACCATGTGGATCATCTTCATGATTTCCTTGATGCAGTTCATAGAAGTTGCTCTTTCTTAAATGGATGGATTTGCAGCTTAATTTCAAGATGCCCAATCCTGGTAAGTGTAAAAATTGTGTATTTTTTTGAGGGAAGAGGGGGTGTAAAATGCTAGTGCTCCATAGGTCACATTACTACACTGATTATTTCCTCCCACAGGTTGGGTTTCCTTTTAGGAATCTGCTTTCTGCTTCAGCTGAGGAGGAAAAAAAAGTAACTTTTCAACTCTAATGGCTGAGATGAATCCAATAGACATTAGTTCTTCTGATAGTGAGTTGGAGATAGAAGATGATGGAGACAGAACTTTACGGGTTCTTCCAGAACAGGCATATACACATGGTACACAAAATCAAGGAGAACTGGCTAGTCTGTGTTTTGCAAACTAACCATATGGTCTAAGTTTCAAAGTTCAATGTTTTAGTCACACTGACACCATATAACCATATTTAAATATGCAGGTTATGTTAGACAGTTTCAGAAGATGCATTCTCCCAATCGAGCGCAATTTTCTAATTTAAACTCTTCGAATCTAAATAATCATTCATGGACAAAAGTTCTGATGCATGACCCCAATGATGGTGTTAAAGCCTCAACTCAACTGATTGCCCTAGATGATGGTCCTGAATATTTTACCGGGAATGGGAATATCGATCAGCCTCAGACTGTTAATTCTCGAATTGCTAATGGCTCTGGTACTGATTTTGAGAAACTGACATCTCAGCAGGCTCTAAAGAGGACTCTTCCTGTCTCTCTTCAACTGTATGGACCAAGTAGCAAATCTGACAAGTTAGTTGAGAATGTGAGTGGCAGTCAGATTCGTGATGCTCACAGAAGCTCTAACCATTTGGCTGGCCCTAGTTTTTCCAATAGCCAGGGCTATATGAGAGATCATTATAGCAGGGGCAACAATGATGAAGTTATGATGTATGGAAACACTAGTAGGATCCTTCCTCCATCTTTGTTGCATGGAAAGTCTGTTAATTATACACAGTTTGCTGGTCCGGATGATCCTGTATACCGTGCTGGAGTAAGTGAAGAAAGAGTTCCTGTAAATGATGAGAGAATGATTTATCAAGCTGCACTGGAGGTATTTCTTGTTGGATCTGAGACTTTTCCTCTTTCTTATCATGAGTTAATACTTGATGATCCACCGCACATTATTGAAATTGTGATCATAAACATTTTGCTCCATTGTGGTAGCTATGTCTGTGAATTCTTGCATCCTACATTTGGGTCATATTATTTTGATAAAATGGAGCTTTATCCTCATTATGCATGTTTTTTGTTTGGTAAAATACAAACTCTATGGTAATTTCAAGTTCAAGACAAACTTGCTGGGCTTCTGAATTTTCCCTCATATGCATAAATTTATTCACTTTAATGTGTTATATACCTTCTCTGGATAATATTTAAAGCAAACACTTATGCTATCATGTAAACATCAAAAGTCTTTGTATGATAATGCAGACAAAAATTGATGTGCTACTGCAGCTATTTGCAATTCTGAATTTAATGAACTTTCTTATGAGAAAACTTTGGAGTATGGATTTGGCTGTGGGTTTCATTTCTGGCCTTTTTGCGCTTGTTTTTCTCCATGTGATTTGTGTGTACACAATGTTATTTTGTTATCTGCTTTATATTACAATTGCTAAAAAAATGGTTTCATATTTGATGTGTTAAGAGAAAGATTACACAAGAAGGACTTATGTTTCTTGCAGGACCTCAACCAACCAAAAATTGAAGCTACTCTTCCTGATGGTCTTTTGTCTGTTCCTCTTCTTAGACATCAGGTCTTTTTTTTTTTTACCTGTTATGGATGATTCTTTGGTATATGTTAGTTACATGGGTTATTTAATCATTGAATTTTACAGAAAATTGCATTACATTGGATGCTTCATAGGGAAACAAGAAGTGGGTATTGTTTGGGTGGAATTTTAGCTGATGATCAGGTTACTTGTTTAAAATCCAGTGTTAATTTTATTTATATAAACGATCAATGTGCCTTTATTCATGTCTTTGAATTTGCTGCATGAATTTCTGCTTAGACCAATGATGGCTTGATCTTACAGGGCCTTGGTAAAACAATCTCAATGATTGCTCTTATACAAATGCAGAAGATTTTAGAGTCCAAATCAAAATCAGAAGATCTATCTAATCACAAAACTGTAGCACTGAATTTGGATGACGATGACGATAATGGTAATGGTGGGTCAGACAAAGTAAAGCAGAGTGGAGAATCTGATGATCCCAAGTCAATTCCAGAAGTGAGTACTTCTACCAGGGCATTCAGCAGACAGAGGCTACCGGCAGGAACATTGGTTGTGTGTCCAGCGAGTGTTCTTCGACAATGGGCCAGGGAGCTGGATGATAAAGTTGCAGAGGAATCTAAACTTTCTGTCCTCACATATCATGGGGGTAGCAGAACCAAGGATCCCTCTGAACTTGCCAAGTATGATGTGGTTCTTACAACATATTCAATTGTAACCAATGAAGTTCCTAAACAACCTATTGTGGATGATGATGAGAGTGATGAAAAAAATGGGGAAAAGTATGGATTATCATCTGAATTTTCAATTAACAAGAAGAGGAAGAAAACATCAAATATTGGTAAGAAGGGGAAAAAGGGTAGGAAAGGAATTGATGACTCTGCTATTGATTCTAGTGCTGGTGCACTAGCCAGATTAGCTTGGTTTAGGGTGATACTGGATGAAGCTCAAACAATAAAGAATCATCGAACACAAGTTGCTAGAGCCTGCTGCAGTCTTCGAGCCAAGCGGAGGTGGTGCTTGTCTGGAACACCTATACAAAATACTATTGATGATTTATATAGCTACTTCAGATTCTTGAAACATGAACCATATTTTCTATATAAAGCATTTTGCAATGGGATAAAACTTCCAATATCTAGAGATTCTGTAAAAGGTTACAAGAAGCTGCAAGCTGTTTTGAAAACTGTAATGCTGCGTCGCACAAAAGGTAATTCCCTTCTCTATTAATATTTGGAGGCGAGATTTTGGTATATTAAGAGAAAGTTCTTACTTTGCCCCTATAACCTCTAAACATGCTCCATATATTTCCATAGTGTTTGCAATTTAGGCCCTTAACTGCCCCTCCCCGTGGATCTTTTCTAGTTTCATCCTTGTTATGCAGAAGTGGTATTATCACTTTGTGTATGACAATTTTCAGTAACTGTATTATCCACTGTAGATGTGCTGTATTTGAATTTAAGCTTGGAATCTTTATTGCTGTTTTGGCTGATTTGATTAGTTTCTATCTAGCAACATTGATCGATGGGGAGCCCATAATTAAGTTGCCGCCAAAGTTAATTGACATGTCTAAGGTGGAGTTCTCAGCTGAGGAGCGGGCTTTCTATACCCAGCTAGAAGCTGATTCACGTTCTCAATTTAAGGTGCCTTTCATTCTGCATCTGTTTCCACTTTCAAGTCACTCTTTATATCATGTGTGACTGATGTACTATTTCAATCGGAATTATCCTTCTGTTTTAATTTGCAACCAGCAGCATATTCCACCTTTTGTATTTGTCAAATCAACGCCTTCTTTTGAATCCCTGGATGGTGCATATCTGAAATATAAGTTTTAATCACTATTATTGTACTTCAGTTTTAATCACTATTATTGTACTTCAAAAATCATCATGTTTTATTTTTGCTCAAAATAATAATTTGGGAAATGATAATGAAATGCTTCTAATAACTTTTCTGGTTCAACAAGGAACCTCCACCTCCCAGAAGTGACTCCTTTCTTTTGGGGGTTGGGAGGTTTGAATAATGTTATAATGCAAATAAATTTTGCAGTCTTATCGTGTAGCAAAAAGATGTTACATGATAAAGAGCTGCGGGTTTGGCACAGCAGCTCATGTCCCCCCATTTGGTTGGGTTGATCCTGCAGGGCCAGTGTTCAAATCCTGGCTCCTGCTTGGGGGGTTAAGATGTTGCATAATTAAGACATGGAATAGTGTAGGTGATGAAACCATCAGCTGTGCAGGGTTATGTTGAAGTCCCCCTTCCCTTTTCTTGAACCACCGTTTGACATTATTTCCTGAACCAAAGTAATAAATGGGGGTTTTTGTGAACTTGTTGTACTTAAGAGAACTAACCTTGCAGGGGGTGATTGCTGTAATTTTAGGCTGCAGGTTATAAGATGAATGAGAACTTACTCCCTCATAATAGTGTCATGAGTGAGACATGTTGTAACTTGTCTGTTTTTATGTGATTAGAATGCATGAGAGATATTGAGTTGATAGTATGTATCAAATTTCATTGCCTTAGGGTCCAAAATAGGCAGACTCACATCTCTCTTCTTCCTTGTTACCTAGAATCTTTTGTACTATTTAGACTTTTAGGTGGAAATGGAACCTTGTGGTAAGTTGGGTGGCCAAAGTATACTGCTCAATCTTGCTAACTTAAATGATCACCCACTATTATTGCTCGATAAAAAATTGACAGATAACTCATTTAGACTTTCTTTTAGCTTCTTTTAGAAGCATTATAGGGCAAATTGGGTTCTCGAACATCTTTACACTAGCGTAATATTAATAATCTGGTTCAATTTTGTAGAATGTACAAATTGTTCCACAACAATTTTTTTGTTAAAAAAAATCATAATGATTATTAACCTCGTACAGTGTAATTGCCTGATAATACACTTTAATAGGATCAATTTTGTGATTTAAAGATTTAATTCCTATAAGTTAGTGAATATTGTTTTCTGCTGTCATTTTACAAGCATTCAATTTCTGTTGTTGTCTTGCAAACATATCATTTACAATACCTTGGGCATATTTCATTTACACCAGTCTGACATCATGTTGTAAATATGGAGTAACCTCAACTTTCCAGTAAAGTTTTTTGCTTATGTGAAGATTAATCATGCTTTTAATATTCTCTACCATCTGATAGTTACATATCTTTTAAATAATATATATTTTCTACAGGCATATGCAGCTGCTGGCACAGTGAACCAAAATTATGCAAATATTCTTTTGATGCTTTTGCGCCTACGTCAGGCTTGTGATCATCCACTTCTTGTCAAAGGATTTAACTCTGACTCCATTCGAAACTCTGACTCTGTTGGACGAGATTCTGTAGAAATGGCAAAGACACTTCCTAGAGAAATGCTGATTAATCTACTGAACTGCTTGGAAACTTCCTTTGCCATCTGCCTCGTATGCAATGTGAGTTTTTCTTGAACCTAATATTTTGCCTAAATGTGGCTTTATTGCACATCATCGGATGTTGTTACTGAAGCAATGACTTATCTGTAATTTTTATACAATTTGCAATTTCTGAGAAAAATAAGCAAGTTCCTTGTCATGGTAATTTTTAATATTTTAAGACCAAAGGTGAGGCAATTGCAATTTATTTGTTCAATCTGGAAAGGGTGGCACATGGATGAAATTATTGGAGTGAGGGGTGTGGCTTTCTAGAAGTGTTTTCCTATTCCGCTACTCAATTATTACTTTTTGTCACCTTTATCCTCTTTGGTATAGGCAGTAGATGTAAAATATTTTTTGATTCCAATTCTTATAATTATTGAAATGCTTGATGCTTTTTACAGGATCCACCTGATGACCCCGTTGTTACCATGTGTGGTCATGTTTTCTGCTATCAGTGTGTGTCAGAATATTTGACGGGCGATGATAATATGTGCCCTGCACCTGCTTGTAAAGAACAACTTGGTGCTGATATAGTTTTCTCTAAAGCTACTCTTAGGAGCTGTCTTGCAGATGGTCTTAATGGTAGTCCCATGCATCCTCAATTCTTTGAAAAGTCGGTGATTTTACAGGATGAGTACAGTTCATCAAAAATCAAGGCTGTCATAGATATTCTTCAGTCAAAATGTTTACTAAAGAATTCAAGTCCTGAATTACAGAGTTCTATTGGATGCAATGAAACTTCTTTGTCTTCTGAGCAGACATTTACAGAAACTGGCCATTCAGGCATTAGTGTTGTAAAGCGCACAACAGTTTATTCAAACTCACTAGCCGACGAACCAATAAAAACAATTGTTTTCTCACAGTGGACTAGCATGTTGGACTTGGTTGAGCACTCTCTACGTAATAATAATATAAACTATAGGAGGCTTGATGGGACAATGTCTTTAGCTGCACGAGACAGGAATGTCAAAGATTTCAATACTGACCCAGAGGTTTGTTCCTACCTCATGAATTTAAGTAATTCCCCAATGCCAATAGGTTGTTTCTTAGTGGGCAATTTGGTTATTATTTTGTAGACTTACTTGCATACATATGTGCTTATATTCTGTAAACACTTAAATAATCATTAAGAGTGTGCTTTAAAGTTTTACTTTAGTAAATCAATGATGTAGAACGTGATGTAATTCTGTTTCTTTTCTTACTTCTCCCATCCTTTGATTTTCTCGCAGGTTACTGTGATGCTGATGTCATTGAAAGCTGGAAATCTTGGTCTGAATATGGTTGCTGCGTGTCATGTTATCCTTCTGGACCTTTGGTGGAATCCAACTACTGAAGACCAGGCTATTGATCGAGCACACAGAATTGGACAGACTCGTCCTGTTACTGTAACTCGGATCACCGTTAAAGACACAGTGGAAGATAGAATGTTATCTCTTCAGGTATTTTCTTTCTATAGATTGTGCTGACTTAGAATTGTCTCCAACTAAATACGTACACGTATAATTTGAAATTTTAGGTTTCCTTTTTTTTTGGGGGGGGGGAGGGGGGTGTGCTGTTGGGTGGGGTGGATGCGTGTTGCATTTGGTTAAACTATATTTTCCTTTAATTCTCTCTGGTTCTTGTATATTTGATGGATTGACAGTGAAAGCAATATCATTTTCTGGTACCATTAAATGGCATGAAGTCTTCAAGGTCGGATAGGATCTCCCTACCTGAACTTGCCACCTTTAGTTAGGGAAGCCAAGTACTTAGCAACTTTAATTAGGGATGTGGACTACTAATTCTTTCTGGTGTTGTTGATTTGGACATCATTACAAGGATTGCTATATAATAATTGTTCAGTATTACCTTTTGGGTCTTTCTGGAATTTGCAAGACAAGCAAATGTTTTGTAGCCTTTGGTGATTAAGAATTTGCATTTTTGGCAGACTGGTGAATATTTGTTGTCTAATACTTATTTCTTCGTTTGCCTCTATATAGGATGAAAAGAGAAAAATGGTTGCTTCTGCCTTTGGTGAAGATCAAAGTGGTGGCTCAGCAACTCGATTAACAGTGGAAGATCTCAGATATCTATTTATGGGAGATTAGCCATCTCATTTTGTTACATTCTTCTGGCCTTATATGTTTCTACTTGAAGTTTCCTTCAAGAAAGTTTGAGATATGAAAATTTTTTATCAGAAATGGGAATTGCACACATCTAGTGCCCTCCTACTAAATGATGTCACTCATGTTTTGTAAATTAAGATGGTGACTTATGTGGGATTTTTGAAGACCAGAAGCATTTTTTTGTTCCCATCAGGTGCAGAAATAGGAAGGCAAGGCTGCCTGTAAATATTCTAATTATTTTGTATTGTATATCAAACTTTTAATTTTTGTTGTTAGTTTCTTTTCTTCATAATGTGCTACATAATGTTATTCCAAATTACTGTGTTTCTCTCTAAGCTTTCCTTGTTTCACCTTAGAAGCCCCTCTCCTCATTACTGAAGAAAGGGTAGTCTGGACCTGATTTCGTCGGATGTATTCATTGCATCAGGGCTTGGGTGGAAGGTCAACGATGGAAAAGCAAAGAAGCTTCAGCTTGGACTCATTCAAGGTACATTTTCCACTAACAGCTTTTTAAGTTTGGTGATTAGGGGATATGCCGATAGTTTGTAGGCAGGATGCCCATAGTTTGCAGGGAGGGTGTGGAAGAGAGACCCCTTTTGTGCGGATGACTATGAACCAACTTCACTTTGGTTGGCTTTCAGCCCAAAAAGAAAAGAGTTGAGAATTGAGAGGTATTGAACCTGCAGCAAATTCTAGTTCCCCTAGCTGTACATTCGTTTTCCTTTTCCTGCTTTTAATGAGAAAAGCTATTCCATCCACTGAGCTATCATTTTCCACCCCTTTTCTTTTATGTTGTTTTTCTTTTTGTTGTCATCCAGATTTATTTCTCATATATTTGGATTTTAACCCGGTAAGGGAGAAGATAAAAGTATTTGCAGAGGTCCTTCCAAAGGGAGTGAATCCATGGACCACCAAAACTTAGCATGCATAAATTCTTGTATCATCTATCATCTATATAAAGTATAAACTTAAAAAGTGTTAATAGTAACCGACATAAATATCATTATAAAATTTTAAATTAATAAATTTATTTTTAAATATATAGATTTTATTAGTTTATTTAAATTTAATTTAAATCAACTAAAATTAAAAATAGAGTTTACGTGAAATTAAAATATTTAAAATTTTAAAATTTAATTTCAAAAGTATTAAAAATGATTGGTTAAAATATATTTAGTAAATGGTTTTATAAATTTTAATTTAAATGAATTTTTTTATTATTAGATTTTTTTTATAATTAGATAAAAAAATATTAAAAGTGATTGATTAAAATACTCTTAATAAAATATTTAATGAAAATGTTAAAAGTGATTGATTAAAAGATTATTAGTAATTTTTTATAAATTTTAATTTAAATGATTTTTTATTATTAGACTTTTTTTTTTAAATAAAATAATTTTTCACATAAAATGAAAATACAAGTAGAATGAAATCAAAACTTAATGTGTATAGAAAATGAAATAATTATTTGGAGTTTATTTATTTAGTTGTTGTTTAAACAATTTTATATGTAATTTATGTTGATAAATATTCATTAAAGATAATTATAATTAAGTTATTGACGCATTTTTTTATTTTTATTTCTTGCTTTTTATTTTTTTTAATATATTAACTATATATGTATGTTAATGATTTTATTATTTATATGTTTTATGAGTTGATCATTAATAACATATTGAAATCTTTTGTCCTTGAAATAATTTTTTAATGTATCATTTTTACAGTTTGGTATGACCTTATAATTAATTCTCTTTTATATTTTTTTTCCTCTATAATTTCATAATTCTTATTCCCATGAACAAAAATTATATTAAATCAAATGCAAATCAATTGTATTCCCTTCATTAATAATTAGTACTATGTGAACATTGAACACTTTAATTAGATTTTTCACTTTTAGAATTAGATAATTGAGGAGGTAATGGAGTTTCCAATAGTTTAGGATTGGGTCTCATCAAATTACTATAAGAATTGTTCACTTTGATTGAAATAATAATTGATTTAATTTTTTCTGAATTTTTATCTTAATATGTATATATATGATTAATTTATATTTCAAGATTATTTAATTATTCTCAATTGTATTAAATTATTCGCTTTTTTTTATCATTCAGATAGTTGAATGACCTAACGTGAATTATTCTAAGTAAAAATTATCAAGTAAAGTAAAATTGATTGTTTTTAGTAAATTCTTTCAAGAAGTGAAAAAATTCATTGGAACTATATTTTGAATATGTTATCAATGTTACATTCATTCATGAAAATTTATGTTGTTAATATTGTAAATAAAATTATTATAGATTGTATAGGTATTACATAACAAGTTTATTATTCTTAGAATTGAAATTTTCTTAAAAAAACTAACAAGTAACAAGGTTAGGAATTTATTTTATTTTATTTTTTAAAATTATGTATTTTAATATTTTTATATAATAAAAATTTATGTATAATAAAATTTTTTAAATAAAAGAAAAATTAAGCTTTCAATTAATAGAATGTGCAATTACATTTAATTGATAGAAGCATCAATGAAAAATTATTTTAAGGAGAAACATGAGATGAAAAATTGATTGGTTATGCATAACTCTATCTTTTCAATATGACAAAGAAGGTTAGTGTTATATGATGTTTCAATGAAAAATATACAAATGTATTAATTTTAAATTTCTTTAGGATTAATATGAAACTATTTTATTTAAAAAAAATGGTATATTTATTCATTTTCTCTTTTATATCACTTGAAAAATGCTCACTATTGTATCAAAATTTTTAAGGTTATTATATCTAGTGATATTTATTCACAAGAATTGAAATTCATCAAATTAATTATCGCTTTACATCTAAAATAAAAAATTGTATTATAAATTATAATTTAACTAAACTTAAAAATACTTTAAAGGCATTTATTAGCAAAATTAATTTGATAAATCTTTATCTAATTGTGTATTTAGTATTTCAATTATTTTAAAATTTGACTTTATATAATTTTGAGTTGAATTTTAGACGTGACTAATTAGGTTAAGTCAAGCTTTATTATTTACTTCTATTTATATTGTACTCAATTATTCACTTATGTACCTAAACAAATTTGATTCAATAATTGGTGTGTACTTTTCTTTGTTTAAAAAGTTAGATTCAAATCATCTTAAATTCAAATAAAAAATAAGTATACTTAATTTACTTTAATTGATATTTCACTTTAGAATTACCTTAAAATTAATTAATTAATTCTACCATAAAGACAATAAAAATAAAACATTGAAGATGAGGGGAAAAAAAAAGCTTAAATAAGAAACTTTTAAATTGTTATGAAAAATAAATAACTAATATTGGATTTTAATTGGTTTGCTATTTCATTTCGAATTTTGGTTATATTCAATCATTTTAAGTTTTAAATAACTATTAAGTTATTGACTTCTTAAATAAATTAAAATCGAGTTAAGTTAGTTCATTTTTATAATTATATGTATTATATTATTTTTAATTAAATTAAAATTTAAAATAAGTAAAAAATTTATTTATACTTAATTTAGGTATTGAATTATTTCAAGTTTGAGTTGATTAATTCATATTATTTTAGTTATATTTTTAAAACACCAGTAAAAAATTTTAAAATAGAATTAGAACACAACACAATAAAATTTTAAGTGCAAAATTAATGGAGAAACCAATAATAATTTTAGAAAAAAAATCCTTATGCCTAAATTTTGCAAAGATTAAAGGATATTTCTTTTTTTTTTTAGAATTTTAAAATTCATATTGCAAAAATGTTAATATAGATAAACAAGACTATAATTATTCATTTGTTAATCAAGTTGTTATTATATGAATTTAGGGAAATAATTCAAACATTTCATTTGAAAGAGATCATATTATATTTTAAAATCATTCATAATGACACTATAAAGTTAAACATTATTTGGGTTGTTATTATCTCTTACAATATTTTTTTACTCTTTCCAAATGGAGAAGTTGATTGGCAACAAAATATCAAAAAAGTTATTTTGAATAATAGTAATAAGAATGAAGTAACAATTAAAAATATATTATTTTTTCATTTAGTAGAAGAAATTTTTTATGGAGAATGCGAAATATTTTTTACTTTTTTCAAATGGAGAAGTTATATTGGCATAAAAATATTAAAATAGTTATTTTGAATGATGGTAATAAAAATAAAGCAACAATTAAAAATATACTATCTTTTCGTTTAGTAAAAGAAATTTTTTATAGAGAAAGCAAAGTATATTTTAATCTTTTCCAAATGGAGAAGTAGATTAACATCAAAATATCAAAAAAGTTATTTTGAATGATAGTAATAAGAATGAAGCAACAATTAAAAATATATCATTTTTTTTGTTTAGTAAAAGAAATTTTTTATGAAGATTGCAAAGGCAATTATTGTGAATTTAATATTTTTAAAATTGTTATTTGTTTAATTTTTATAAATTCTATTTAGTAAATTTGTTCTCATTGCTTTTATCATATATGTAAAAAAAATTTTACCTAAAATTGTATACTTAAAAATATAAATATAAGACACAGTTTGTTACTTCTATTGGTGACATAATATTTTAAATATTTCAATATTTTATATGCAATTGTACTTCGCTAATAAATATGAAAATACAAACACTAATAATTCAACCAAATCATCAATAAAGCTTATCTTAATATGTAATATTTTACTATGACTAAAAAAATATGAAGAATATCTTAGAAATATTGACTTAATATATATTGTATATACTTATTTAAATTAGTTTTAATATTTTCATTAGAATAAAAGTTAGGCTAAATACTCAATTTAGGACTAAATGTTTAGGGTGTTGTTCAATTCAAGACTAAATGTATTATTTAATTCAAATCAGGATCAAACGTTATTGATTTATAACATTTTACGATTTTTTTTACATAAAAAACCAATGTGGAACACACACGCCATTATCTCAGTTAATACAATGAATTATTATTGTTAAGGTGACTTTTTGCTTATTTGGCAAACACATTTGAAGTGAAAAAATAAAATAATATTAAAAATACAAATTATGCTTAGAATGTTGTTCTTTTTTTCTCATAAAAAACTAAAAATAAATCACTAATTTACCTCTAACAATCTTTTTTCAGTAGATTGTAAATTTCAAACTAATCAATGTAGTCGGAGTATAAATAATTCATTATGAAAGAATCAAAGGAAGAAATCACAAGACTATCCAAAAACTTGCTACAAAAATATTTCAAATTCAAATTACATTTGAAATATTTTCAAATTTTATTCAAATTTTACACTCGTAAAAGAGATTGAACATCTATTAAAGAAAAACCTAATAAAAAGTGACTAACTTGCTCTACTGATGGAGTTGGAGCAAATCCATCAACAACAAAGTGAGGATTGTTAAGTGTTTGCTGGGTCCAACTAAGGTCAAGCTAAGATTGGTGCTTGTATTAAAGTATCAGTTGGTTTTCCCCATCAATCATTGGATTCTATCATGAAAACTTAACCTTTCATTTCCTCATTTTGAGTTATCACCATAATCTTTACCAACAAACAGCCACAAAAAAAGCCAACAAATAAAAAACAATTCATATGAAAAAAAAAAAACCAAAACCCATTTCTAAAATCATCCCAACATTCAATTCGTGATAAGAAAATGAAAGTAGTCTTTTTATTTACTAAAGATGAAATTGGATTTTCATGATTAGAGTTGTAATAGTTTCAAACAAAATCCTTTATTTTCTTCGAAACCCATCGTTTCCTTCCTTCCATTTTTCACACCAAGGCTCAAACCTAAATTAGTTATGCCATTATTGATTCTAATATCATGTCGTTATCATGGATGCTATAAACAACCTAAACTTGGATGCCCATGTCATTCTTGTTAGTTTAATAAAGCAAAATTAAGCTCATTTTACTCAAAACTCAGCTATGTTA